ACCCTAGTTCATCTCTTGTATCCAATCTTGTATCAAAACCACAAATTGGTACCTGTGGGTTGCTAGTAGTGTTGACTACTCCTTGTAGTTGATGCTAATTGGTTTACTTGGTGGAATATCATATGTTTAGATCCTTAATGCATATTAATACTCCTCTGATCATGAACATGAATATGCTTTGTGAGTAGTTACGTTTGTTCCTGAGGACATGGGTGAAGTCTTGCTGTTAGTAGTCATGTGAATTTGGTATTCGTTCGATATTTTGATGAGATGTATGTTGTCTCTCCTCTAGTGGTGTTATGTGAACGTCGACTACATGACACTTCACCATTATTTGGGCCTAGAGGAAGTCATTGGGAAGTAATAAGTAGATGATGGGTTGCTAGAGTGACAGAAGCTTAAACCCTAGTTTATGCGTTGCTTCATAGGGGGCTGATTTGGATCCACTAGTTTCATGCTACGGTTAGGTTTACCTTAATACTTCTTTTGTAGTTGTGGATGCTTGCAATAGGGGTTAATCATAAGTGGGATGCTTGTCCAAGGAAGGGCAGTACCCAAGCACCGGTCCACCCACATATCAAATTATCAAAGTACCGAACGCGAATCATATGAGCGTGATGAAAACTAGCTTGACGATAATTCCCATGTGTCCTCGGGAGCGCTTTTCTCATTATAAGAAATTGTCCAGTCTTGTCCTTTGCTACAAAAAGGATTGGGACACCTTGCTGCACTTTATTTACTTTCATTGCTTGTTACCCGTTACAAATTATCTTATCACAAAACTATCTGTTACCTACAATTTCAGTGCTTGCAGTGATTACCTTACTGAAAACCGCTTGTCATTTCCTTCTGCTCCTTGTTGGATTCGACACTCTTACTTATCGAAAGGACTATGATAGATCCCCAATACTTGTGGGTCATCACCGGCTGTCGCCGCGCTCGGAAGGGCTGACGCCGGAGGCCGAGGGCAGGGGAGGGAGCGAGGGAGATGACCAGCTGGACTGGAGGGGAGGGGAGGGACAGGCAGGTAGGAGAGGGGCGGCCGCCGATCGCCGGAGCTACAAGTGCTAGGTTTGGAAAAGGGGATTCGATTTGGGCATCTATTCAAGGGAGGGAGACGAGGTGCTCGTGCGGTCGGCTGCTCGCGCGCCTGACCAGACGCCCACTCGCCTGTGTTTGTTACCGTGCGTGGCTGCGGGCTGCCGTGGAGCGTTTGGGCTCGTGGGCCAACTGGCGAAGTCTTTACCGTATAATACCTGTAGTAATTCTTTTGCTGGAAATTCTTTGGTATTCCAGGGAATTCCCAGGAATACCCCCAGCTCTGCCATTGCCGCGCGTGTGTGGAAGCAGGGGACAGAGAGGGACTTGACGGTCCTCTCCACGGCGGCCGAGGGGGTCGGAGGCGCGGCGAAGAGGCTACCCCGAGCTCGAGCTCTTGCTCGCTCGGGTCATGACGGGCACGGCGATGGCGAGGACATGGAGCCTTACCTAGGCGGTGACAAAGGAAGGATAGGGGTTAGAAGTAGACGAGGGAGGTTGGGACTAGGGCTAGGACGTGATTTATAGGCCTCTAGGGCGCCGGACGGCCGTCAAATCACCAAGGTTGTCGACGTGGTGCGTCTGGATGTCCTACCGTACAGGAGGTTGACGACGCCTCTGTACGCATGGGCTGGATGGGCTGCTGGATGGGCTGCTGGAGCGCAGCTGGGTTGGTCCGGGAGGGAGGATGCCCAGGTGGGTGCGGTGCGGGTGCTGGTGGGTTGCACTGTTGCCACTGTTGCTTCCCTTCTTCTCTTTTCTTCAGATAGAAAAACAAGACAGAAAAGCACAGGAACAATGGAGGGGGTTCAAATAGATATGAGAATATCCCTAGAGTCCAGAATTTGTGCAGAATTTGAATAAATTGCTTTGGGCATTTTTTAAGGACAGAAAAATAATTCAAGTTTGAATTTAATTCAAACTTGAGTCATTTTTTAACCCTACCAAAACAACTCCAAATGAGATGAAACTTGGCAGAGAGGTATAAGGCATGGAGTAAGATAACCATGAAATAAATGAACATTAATGGAGGGAATAATGTCACTTGCAAAAACATGAAGGAAGAAGGAAGGGAGAGGTGATGATACATGGGCATATGGCTTGAGAGAGAGATAGTAAGGACTGATGCACACACAACATGAAGAATGCAACCCACATGATGAGCATGATGAAATGCAATATGACAAGGGTACAATGCAACATAACAAGTGAGATGAGCATGGTGCAAGAAGCAAATATATGACAAGGCACTCAACATGATCATGGCATAAACATATAGGAATGAAATATGCCAAACAATTATGATAATGCAACAAACATAATAAACACACGGCAACAACTAAAATAAATAGAAGGCATCTGGAGCATCGGTCTCGGGGCGTTACATGCTACACCACCACTGTTGTTGGAGAAGACGGACAGCCAAAGCTGTGAAGGAGCTCCGATCGCAACACCGACCACTCCGCCACTATGAGCGATGAACGACCGACCGAAGCTACAAGCCAAGGCTGTGAGCAGGAATGACGAGGTGTTGCGGGAGGTGCCAATGATGCCAGCTCGTCGGAGATGTTTCTGTGGGCAACGACCTCAACACAGGCAATGTTGTGCGGTGGCGACGGCTGAGCGCAAAATGAGTAATGTTGCAAACCTCCGAACTCAACATGGCTCATGTTGCAAAACACTCGTTAGTGCAAATATGAGTGCAACATGGTCCATGTTTCAACCAGCGAGCACAACATAACCCATGTTGCAAAGCTCATAAGTTGGATCTAGTGGCTACGATCGCGGTGGATCCAGCTGCTCACGACCCGGCTAATCTTTTTAGAGATCAACGGGGTGACGTGTAGCTAGGAGGAGTGTTGTTTGGCCAGTTGCCCAAGTCAAAATATGTAGAAGCGCCTCAAATCCGATATACTCTCTTCATCCATGAATAAGTGTAAGTTTGATAATTGAAATTGTCCACAAAAGAGTGTATTTTTATCTTCTCAATACGCTTTAAAGTAGAAAAAAATGGTTCTCTCACATCACACGGTAATAAAGACCAATAACATTCAACACATGGTCTACTCACTTCAACATGCACTTAGCTCATTGAGGTTGAAGTAGTTAAAGAGAAGAGAGATGGTGGCTTGCTCCTTTCCACCGTACTATTTTTTTACCCCACTTCATAATCTGTCCTAAAAAAATTATATGCACACTTATTCGTCGACGAATAAGTACTTTATTAGGTAAAAGTGGGCTACCAAACAAATCAGTGAAACACGGAGGTAGATTATGCCGGAGGATACGCAGGCTGTGTGCTGACCAAGTGAAACACGTTGGCGACAGTAAAGGCGATCACTACCATAAGAAGCGCTATAATCTTTCCTCATCTGATTCACCATGTACAGCCACACAACGGCCAAGAACCCCTGCAGAATTCAGTTAGTTACATGCACCGAGCAAATTCAGTTTCAGGTAGCACGTCCACCGCACAACGACTTGCTATTTTTTGTGGGGGGCTTCGTGGTTAGTTACCTGGAAAAAGCGCCGGCAGCCGGACGTTTCCACGCCCCCATCGTCCGCCAGCGACGACGTGGCGCGTTCTTCGGGCACGCCCTTCTCGACGTCCAGCAGCGGCGCCGCCTCTGTCGCCTCGCAGCAGGACGCGTCGCACGGCGTCGAGGAGATCCGCTGTGCCATTGGGGGAAGAGAGACGGCGACGTGCGGGGCTTTACCCTAACTTTTTTTCTTTCCGCCCCACGCGCGAGTTTACTCTCAAAACCTAAATCGACGTCGCGTGCGAGTTGGTATCGGAGACGTGGGCACCGTGTAAATAATCACTGCATTTCTCAATTAGGGCTTTAAATACACACGCATGGGAAGAGATAAGAGGCAGCTCGCAGGGGCAAACAAAGAAAGTTAAGATAATCATGGAAATCGCACAGAACATATACAAGCGATAATAAAATAAAACCTTGGTTCAGTTTTTTTTCTCTGAATACTGTACAATACAATGACATGCTCATGTACACCCATGAATACGTATGCACACCCTACTCCTACGACCACCTTCGAGATGCCGAGTCAGCACAGCATCTTAAGATTGACGAAGTTATCCAAAAATTCGCAGCGGCACAGATTTACTCAGCCCTACTTCATCGTTCATTCACTTTGTGATCTGTGCACCCGTTTGCATCCGAAAATGCCTAAAAATCACATGTGAGCTGTGCACATCGACATGTTGATGGCTGTAGAAGACCTTGATGTAGTTTTTATTATGGTTGAGATGTTTCGTATTTTTGATGAACTTTTATACTCTCATACATGCGCTGGGTGTATTCCTCGATGCTATATTTTGAGTCAATAAAAAACACCCTTCATCGAAAAAAAATACGCTGGATATTTTTCCAAAGAAAAGGTGCGCATGCCCTGTAAGAAAACGATGTGCTTTGTTACCATCCTTAGGACCGAGTGGTCACTTGGACTGAAAGACCCATGAACGATAATCCATTGCTGCTCGTTTAGTACGTGTGGGTGCTTGTGCGGTTCTAAACGAGCCGACATATGTTTTTCAGGGCTACAGCCACATTCCCATTTTTGTTGGTGCCTTCTCGTCCTGCTCAGACGGCGACCGTCTTTCCCTTCATGGATCTTCGCCACAAATTCGCCCTGTCGTCCGCATCAACCAAACAAACCAACGTTTGACGAAGACTGCGCTTCCTAGTATTTTCGCCCCACTTGCGCCCCTCTCCCTCCATTCGTGAGCTCTCCTCCCCTCCCTCGTCCCGTGCTTCGGTTTGTAGCTCGCCGGTGAACTGAAGAGCTGTGTTGGCCAAGGAGGCAGCACAACAGAGACGAGGGTATTTCTTTCAAACTTCCAACCATCTGGCGGACTAAAGTGGCTGCATACTGTTTTTTTTTTTTTTTTTTTTGCTTCTTGATATGTTTGTTGGAATGTGCAAGAACAGGAGTTTGAGTATATGCAACAACAAAAAATTCGACAACAGTATTTACGTGACAAATGGTGCTATGCGCGTTCACGGTCGAGTTCCCAACAGTCCCAAAGATGGCACCGGAGACGCGTCCGCAGCCGAATTCGGTCGGCGCAGGAACCAGCGAAGTTGCAGTACAGGAAGTTGGGAGATTCAGATCTCTTCATCAGCGAGATAACTCTTGGAACAGTATGTGCATAGCTGAACCATCATGTTTCTGTTGTTTTCACTTTTTTTTACATAATAATAACCTGATTTTTTGAGCTCTTTTATGGTACCCTGTATTAAATATTGGCCGTCCATTGGCAAAGATCCAAGGGTGGGTGCCTATCTGTACTGGTGAAACTGGATCAGCAGTATCGCTAGTACCGCACGTCTCACGTCCACCGGTATAATGCTCGGAGGGCATTATCGGTGATTCTCTGCATCACCGGCAGCAGCCCTCGGGGGCTCGCCTCCTCTTCGACCGCATGCCCGCCAGGGCACCTCCTCCCTCCCCTCCCTTTAACCCGCCGTGCTATCCTTCTATGGTTTTGGACTTCTGGCATGCCGCCGTGCGCCCCATCCCCCTTCCACGCTACGGCTGCGATGTTCTTTGCCGTCCCGCATGGCTGAGCAGTGAGCACCTTAGCATGGCGCTTATTTTGTTGCCTCGTTCATGACGACAGTGCATGCGAAACCACCCTGCGCAGCGGGCAAGCTCGCCGTCGCCGACGATGAGGCCACGATGTCGATGTGTACAACGTCGTGGTCTTCTGGCGCACGGAGAGCCGCGGCTACGAGAGTGCCGGAGCCCGTCGGAACCTCGCCTATTTAGTGCTAACCATGCCCTCGCTACGCTCATCGTCGTGCTTCTTTATTTTACTACGGCTCGCCTTCCTGATAGAGCTCTTCATGGCCTGGATCACGCTTTACTTTGGCCGCAGCTCGCGGGACGTGGAGCAGCTACGCATCTGCCTTTGCTGTGAGGTCGACGACCACGTCATGTGCTCAAAAGCTCACCCAGGCAGCAGGCAGGGCTCAACATACCTGTGTCCTCGTCGTCACCCCGCCGTCACAGACTCACAGGAGTGCACGATGCATTCCGAAATATTGATCTGCCAGAGCAATTCCCTTTATGAGCACAAGAAGAGCTTTCACCGTCACATATACTGCTCCCTCCCCAGTAGCAGTATAGGGTACCATAAAAACCCTCGATTTTTTTACTTCTTTTAGATGACCTTTGGAGAACAAAGTACAGAGAAGGAATCACATGATATGCTCTCTTACTCTTTTGATCAGGGCATCAACATACTCGACACCGCAGAAATTGTCAGCACACATTCCTTCCTTCCATTCAACCACCGTCTCATTTTCTGAAGTTGACCCCAGTTTTAACTGAACTACTTTTATTGCGTTTTAGTACCCGATTCAACCCAAGCAGGAGACTCAAGGAAGGACTGATCTATATGTAGGCAGGTGGATGAAATCCAAGCCACGAGATAAAGTACCCTAAACCGGCCTTATAATTTATTTGCAGTTTCCGAATCCTTTTGTACTTCCCTGATTTCCACTTCAGATAGCATGCTTGAATGGTGTCACTGAAACATGGCACCTGCCCACTTTACATTCTGTTTCTGACCAGGTAATTTTGGCCACCAAAGTTTCTGGTTATTCAGATCGCACTTTCCTTCGGGACAATGCAGAAATGGTGCGTGCTGATGCTCCCAATATAAAGGAAAGTGTCGAAAAGAGCCTCTCACGCTTATCGACAGACTACATTGATTTGCTTCACATACACTGGTAAGTGTTTATTTTGAAGATTATTCTTCATTAGAATAATTTTCACATCTTGTTCCAGATTGATTCATACACAATCATATTGCATAATTTGCATTTCCTTATATAACTTGAAAATTGTAAATCTCATTGCACTTTTCCATCCTTTGTGAGTCTTTTTGCCGTAGACTGTTTTCAGCACACATCCTTCATTTAAGCGTAATCGTGTTAGTTTTTCATTATCACATTGATTTTTTTTCAGGTAGGATATTATTTTGTTTATATCAATATGCTTTATTTTTATTTTACTTGACATAAAAAGAGAACTTTGGCTCCAAAGGTTTGCTTTATGTCTTCAGGCCAGATAGGTATGTGGCACTATATGGCGAATTCAGTTACGATTCAACTAAATGGAAGCCAAGCGTCCCATTTGAGGATCAATTGAAAGCTCTTCAGGAACTAATTGATGAAGGAAAGGTAATATTATTTTATTATTTCGAAACAACAAAATAATTAATTGAACACAAATCTTAGTATAGATCCATCTTTCCATAGGATTTGGTGCCTGTGTTTTTCACACTTTATGATTGTTGTGTTCGTGTGCGCACAATACGTTTGAGTAGTTCACTCAGAGCATATGCAGAAGACAGACAAAGATAGTATTCATAGATCTGTAACCGTAGACCAGTATATAATTCCCTGTTGGTCTCTTGTAATATAGGTACGATATATCGGCGTTTCCAATGAAACCTCGTACGGAGTAATGCGATTTGTACAGGCTGCAAAGCTTCATGGACTTCCAAAGATTGTGAGCATCCAGAATGGTTATAGTCTACTTGTGAGATGCAGCTTCGAAGGTGAAGCAGAGATGCCAGCCATAGATCTATTCATTTTCAGTCACTTGAACTCTATGGTGTAATGGAGTCTGCACGCTTTGTTTTGTCGCAGTCGATCTTGCTGAAGTCTGCCACCCAAACAACTGCAACGTTGGGCTGCTCGCCTACTCCCCGCTGGGCAGCGGTGTTCTGACCGGAAAGTATCTGGATGATAACTCTGGCAATAGCAAGAGTTTCAGGCTAAATCTCTTCCCTGGATACATGTAGCGTTACAACGCGCCTTTGGCCAAAGTATATACACACACACACTGGAACACTACAACTAAATATAATGACATTAAAAATTATTATGTGCAAATAATTCTTCTTTTGCTTCTGTTGTGATGTTTGGATAGGAAGCGACGAAGGAATACCTCGAGGTTGCGAAGAAGCATGGGCTAACTCCGGTCCAGCTTGCCCTCGGCTTCGTGCGCGACCGCCCGTTCACAGCTAGCACCATCATCGGAGCGACCACCATGGATCAGCTGAGGGAGAACATCAACGCGTTCACCAGCGCTCCACGGCCTCTGCTGCCGCAAGTTCTCGATGACATTGAGACTGTTTTCAAGAGATACAGAGACCCAGCAGTCCTCTAGATGTTTTTTCAGCTTTCTCTGAAGCAAATAACAGCAACCCTCAGCGGATGCACAGACCAAGGAAACAGTTTGCTATCATGCAATTTCACATAGCAATTAGCCGTCAGTGTATATCATTGTTCTGGATAGACATTGCGCGTTAAGAGTTAATAAAGTGCGTCGGATGTCCAGATTCACTCCATTGCAGCACTGAATGTACACGAGTTACAACCCACATTATTCAGTATTTGCACACAAAGACCAAATCACATAATCCGACGAGTCCTGTGATCGATTTCTCTAACATCTATACATACACACTTCCATTCAGTTTTACAGTCAAGCATAGTCAGTGCAGGAGACCCGCCTTATCAGTCATCTTGCAGAATTCAGTCATCCATTCGCCTGCCTTTGCGTGTCCTGCTCATCATCGTCACATTCGTCAGAGTAGTTGAAGTCTTGAGCGTTCCATCTTGGGTTTGTCAAGCGCCCTCTGCCATCCCTGCGACCACTCTCTGCCGTTTGCTGGTCAATCAATTCGAGCTGCTTTCTTACCCAAGGTGGGTCATCTGGATGAAGCCATAGCTGCTCACGGGTGTCCTTGTGCTTAAAATCAGGGCAACTGGCGTATGGTTTTTGTTGCCGGTTATCCCACCACTCGTAAGGGCTGGCAAAGAAGACTTGCCACAGATGAAGCCTTTCTCTGTACTTGATTTCTTCAAGTGTTTGAGCTAATTGATACAACAGAAGACAGTAAGAGATTAGATAAGAGACAAAAGGACTACAATGCAGAATAGGAATGAACGAAGTCAACTGAGAAAAACGTACTATCCGCAGATGGTGTTGATGCTGGATCTACCGAGCCTTTATCATTCCTAGGCTTCTTGGGATCATGAACGCAATTCAGTTCCTTGACGTGGATCTGTGGAATAATGGATTTCGAATTAGGAAAGTATAGAAGATACAAAGCATACAAAAGTATTTTCAAGACCAACAATAACACATAGCAACACAGGGAAACAATTGTTAACATATTTGTGGTTATTGAAGTAGAAACAATTTTGCATGCATCATATATGGTCAAAGATAGTGGAAGACTGGAAGTAACTAGGACCACACAAGTATACACGAGAGGAAGGATATGGTAACATAAAATCAGGCCTAGGACAGGACCACTAATGGTAAGAGAACCAAACTGATCTTCTAAATGATTTCATGAAGAAAACTGTATATCTCAGAATGGTACAGCATCATCTGTTCGTAAGAAGTTGCAATCGCTCAACAACTGACTAACCTTATAGCACACATACTTTTCACCAGTTCCACTGACTTTATGATAAGAATTCAGAAAACCAGATACATGTACAAGGTCATTGTACTTCAAATGCTTCAGGCACACATTTGCCAGATCGCCCTTCAGCTGCAGTGTCACTCTGTTCAAATTGTTTACACCGTAAGTATGGGTGATAGAAATTTTATTGAACACAAAATTACAATAATCATGAATTGGAACAATCATATAACATTGCATAGATGTAATTAAGTTTGCAGGCTCTATGAAAGCATGATCTTTATATTAGATTAATGTTGTGCTTGGTGGATATAGCTAGAGTTACATCCCGAGGTGCTTCTATGCTTCACCTCTCAAGAGTTGCACAAATTTTTGACCGTGTGAAGCATGGAAGTCGTCTCAAGCTGCAAAAGATACCGTGCATGCATATGTCTCTCTCTTTTACATACAAACAATGGATATAGCCCACAAAAACCAAATGTTGTCCTTCCAGTTTACATTTTGGAAATACAACTTTCTACCTGCGCTGTTTCTACCACCACAAGCATTGAATTTGCTCCCTGATAGGATGGACCTAAGTTAAGAACATCCTACTAACTTGGGTAGGACAATGTCCAACAGTCTAAACTCTTAGACCTGTGTTTCCTTTTATTTCATATAAGAAGGTTGCTCTGTTGTGCCTACATGGAGCAACAAGCCTACCACAATTCGACAATGAAATTTTCTTTCCTTGGTACTCCAGTAGACATTTGTGCTAACCCAGGAATACCACAAGACCACAAAGCTGTATGTTTGTATAGAACAAATAATCCTCAGTTGAAGCAACAGATAGTAATACTACTATCTACAGAATACAGTTAACCAGGCAAGAACATAGTAATATAAAGCAGAATATATAACCCAATCGATCAGAGAGGGTAATGAAGGGAATCTTCTGCACCAGAACAGCGAGCATGAAC